GGTCCGCACACCCCTGTGTGAGTCCTTGAGAATGTGTACCTATGGGGGTCCACAGAGCTGAGAGATGAGATCAGATTGTTTTTTTTTTGGAGAATTCTGTGGCGCCAATAAACAGCATATTTGGCTGATATCTTTAGTGCTCTTAACGATGAGTTGAACTCAAGTCTACAAGCGAAATATTACAACGTCTTCTAAGTTAAAGGTAAAAAGAAACTATGACAAAAAACTTGAACTTCGAACTAATCGTAGGTACAATAAAAAAAATAATCGCTTTCCTACAATGGTAGGTACCGTTTTTGGAATCCTCTGGTGGAGAAATGTTTCCAATGAGAGTGGAAGAAAAAATGATTAAAAACCTCAGCGATTTGAGATCTTTTCTTCCAGATTATTTTCCAGAACCCGACAGAAATAAACTCTGGATAGTAGACGCTTTCAACACAGATGTTTCAGATATCATCGGCTTGACAAACGGTACAAGAAAATCAATTAATAGAAATATCATGTGATTCAGCTTCAAAACATAATTTCAAAGAATCTTCCTTATTGGGTTTTGGGTAAATTTGGAAAAAGTTTTTAAAGAAATATCAGAAGAAGCACTGAAACATTTACTGCACGATTACAGGTCGTATTTCACTTGACAGAAGAGGAAGCATTTCGTATTGTACGGTTGGCTACCCTACTAAGAACAAAAATCAAAAATTCAATTTCAGTGCCATTTTTCAAATTTTCATTCTGAGTTTGAATGATATTAAGTTTAATTATATTATATTTCACAATACATAATATATTCGACAGAAAGTGCAGCGCCAACAAAATAACATAAAATGTCTCCCCTTTTTTTCGAGTGAAATACCTACTGTCGATATGTAACCAATAAAAAAATATAGTGAAATGGATACTTGATTCAACTTCAATAATCAGTCAACTCATTCCATCGTTTCATTTCAACCACAATGAAATCGTGCTTTCCAAATTTAGAAATGGGGTTACACATTTACAATGTTATTATAAGAAATAAAAATAAATTAAAAAAGAGTTGAGGAACTGTAAATGAAAATGATTCACTTATAATAATTTAAACCCCTTTGCCCCTCCATTATCACGCTCCTGAACGGAGCGGAGTAGGGTTAAAGCACATGTTTCTCCATTGATATATTATCTCGTGTCTACTACTGTGTTATCGTGTACAGTGTACACGTAGATCGAGATCGAAAAATGGAGACGAGATTATAATTTACGATTTCCAAAACGATATTACGAAATGGAAATACTGTAATTATTTCTAATTAGTAGTAATTCAGAAGCCTAAGTGTCAACCTAAACAAGAAAAATATTATTTTTTTGGTCCAGGTGGCTGTGGTAACAGCCACGGTCTGTTCAAAGTTCTCATACACGGCAAACGCGCGCATACGATTCACTATTTACAATACACAAGTAACCTTTTACATCAAGCTAACTTTAGCTGATAAGATGTTCAAAATTTATACAGACTATGGGAACGGCACAAATCACTCACATATTGTATGAAATATATTGGACAACTTTACAGGTAAAATTTCGAGCCTCTAGAGTGAAATTAATTATTTGAAAACCTTTTTCCCTCACCAGAATAAAAATTATGTCATTTTACGCTTGTTTCGCTAACCAAGTTAGCATGATATGTAGAAATAGCTATTGCTGCGAAGAAATGAATGAAAATCAGAATCAAACTTTTCTCATTATTGTTTATATCAAAGCTTTTATTTTACTGAAACTGCTATCATGAGTTGGTTAGTTTTTAGTCGTAGATAATCTCGAGAAACGTTCATGGATGTTTTCCTTTTGACCTGTATTATATTCATGAATTTCATTGTTGATGATGATCGTAGGTTCGTTATCTTTCACATACCTACACTATCAGCTGAAATATGTATAGGCACCGGACTGTCAAAACTTAAAGCTGTTGAAATAACGTTCAAAGTGTCGTGGGTGAGCTTTGATATTTTAAGAGTAGTAAATGTTTCTGGTGATGAGGAACGGCGTGTATTAAACTATACATTTTTTAACAGTGTACTTAGTGTGTATAATTCCAAGTTTGTTTATGGCCTAATAGCACTACCTAATCTTAGTGTTTTGAGCATATTTAACCAGGCACCGTCCTTTAAAACAATTACAGAGTGATGACAGCCGAAATTTAATTTTTCGGCTTTGTTCAGCTTATTACTAAGCGATTTTCGGCCAATTCAAATTGAACCATAGGGCTGCCGAAACAGCCCGAAAAATCAATCAGGCATTTGACAATAATTTTTTTCCGGAGATTCAGCGTCGAAGTGGTCAACCTACAGTAATTCATGACGAGGATTCCTGATGGAGAGGATGGTGGGTGTCTCACGATTTGAAGAATCGCCAGAAATTGTCACATTTCGAGTTCTTTTCTTTTTTGCTTTTGTGTTTTTTTATATGGAATCTGAATAGATACCATACACCATAAATAAATTTAAGGAAACGACATTGAACTTTCTCAATTATTGTAGTGTATTCCGGTCCAATCTTCAAGAAATTTCACCAAGACTGCAAGGTTTATCTTACAAGAAACAAAATTTTCATTCGAAACAGTTGTTAGAGAATCAATTAAATATGTACTTGAATGTATATCATTCTGTGTTACAAATAGCATTCTTTCTTATTTTCTTGCAAACAACTTTCCAGCAACACCCGGTATATTTGAAAAGAATGTCAATACGGAAACTACACCAGAAATGAAACTATTATTTATGACCTGTCCCATTTGAATCCAAGTTAAAACTTGTTTTTTCTAAAAGTAATGAAAACATCTCCGATTGGGAGGTATAGCAATGTCTAATAATAGTTGTTTGTTGAATAATTTATCATTAAGCAAACAATAGAAATGAACAATTAAAATATATTTAAAACTCCGTCCGTAGAAAACATGCGATCATTAAATACAGATTAGAACACGAGATATGTTTGAAAAATAAAACGGCTAAGTGTATACAAGAGAAAACAATTATTCATGGACAAAACCATTATTGAGTTCTACTGCTAAAAAAAATTAAAGCAAATCCTAGTAGAATTATACAAGATGTCAAAAAATTGTTGAATTTCCGAAACTATCCGTAGTAGTGTGAAAAGATCTTTCTGAAAATTATAAAGTATGAAATCACACAAAAAAATGTTGAACATTATTATCGGAAGAATATTTTGAATGATTGGTTTTTCAATTTTGAAAAGTAATTTGATTGAGAGAGGGGGGAATCGATTCCTGAAAACTTTCTTTTCTTCATTTTTGCAAGGAAACATGTTATTTCATAGGAAACCTGTATTTATTGGTATGCCATCGATCCCGAATAAAACCAATCGGTACGACGTAAACTCTTTTGTAGATTATTTATTTTCGATAATTTCTATAATTTAGTCTCCTCCAATAGTAAAAATAGTTTCAGGCTTTCAATAAAATGCTCTAAAAATAAGAAAATAAAACGCTTGAAAACCAGACATCGCGGTTATCTTCGGTCTGTCGAATCCATAGGTGGCGTCTTTGTAAGAGATGTCGTCGACCTTACTAAAAAAAAACGCATTAATTTTTGAAAGCTTGTCGCAAGATTTAACTCCGGAGATTAAAGTATATTCAGTCATCAATGTTTTTCTCAAGTTTCAGTTCTGATTTATATTTTTTTAGGGCTCTGTTCGAACCTCATTATGTTGAAGGTTTGAATTATTTTAGATGTATATTTTTTGGAAAAATAAATCATTATTATTATATACTTATATTGGTTTGTGGGCGCTGGTCTGCTGGTTTTTATGCCTGAAGTCTCATCTACATATGCGGTAGACATCAGAGACGCTGAAGTAACGGAGTTATTCTCTCACAGCACATATTACTAGTATGTTGTATCTGTAGAGTCGGGAGGGCCACATGTGACCACATGTGACCCATTGTACATCCTCCCGAGGAGTTGTCCTCCTAGTTCATCGTCCATCCTGTCCTTTCCAGGAAGGTGGACAAGTCACTGGGATACATCTCCTTTATATCGGCAGGTGTAGGCCAAGACTCGCCGAACATACACTTTCTTATTGACGATAACTCGCACTCGCATAGGAAATGCCTGACGGTCTCATCTCCCTGTTCACATATCCTGCATAGAGGTGTGTCCACTAGCCCCATATTATGGATGTGTTTCCTTAGTTGACAGTGGCCAGTCAGAAATCCTACTGTTAGGCGTAGATTTTTCCTGGTCATCGCCAGATGACCAGGCTAGTTCCGCAATTGTCGAAGTCATCAGGCCGTAGGTGCCACTGGGTCCTAAAATTCTTAGACCAGCCGCTTCCTTGGCTAAAGAGTCGGCAATGCGATTACCTTTACTCCTGTCGTGCCATGGTGGCACTCTAGTACTAGCCCTGAGGTAACACGTTGTCTGTTCCAAGGCCAATAGTGCTTGTCTAGTGTCAGTGCAGATTGTTGTTTTTGCCAGAAATTCCTTTCCTGGTTATTTCTTTTGTGGCGATTGAGATACCAACCAGTTCTGTTTGGACCACGCTGGTATTTTTTCCCATTCCCCACTTAATCCTTAGGCTTAGTGATCTAGAATATACTCCACATCCTGAGCCTTCTTCGGTTTTTGAGCCGTCTGTATATATGCGTATTGCATTTGTAGCATCTGACTCTGCGTTCTGTTTTATTTGTATGTAGGATTTATTAAACACAAACCTGGGTTCAATTGCATCACTGGTTGCCTGCCAGTGATGGTGTAAACCTACTTCGAGGTTTACACCAGGCGTGCGCAATCGTAACATAGCCATTACAACGTACATAGCCAGTATGATGTAATTCCGCAGTCGTAGACAAAATGTCAGTACTGGAAAACTGTCAATAAAACTTTGACACGGGTATCCGCGACCGTGAAAGTTTACGCTCTTGCATTTGTTTGTATCGAATATCTTTAAAAATAGATTTTCGTTCATTTCACCACATTTCTACTGAAATTATCAAATCTCTTCAGACTCGTCCAAAGGCCTTCTAGAAGACAGAGATGTCCTCGTCATCCAGATGGATGTGACCGACACAGCCTCCCATCGAAAGCATTTCCAACATGCCGTCCTCCACTTCGGCCGAGTGGATATTCTAGTCAACAACGCCGGAAGGTCTCAGAGAGCGATGTGGGCTACTACAGAGATGTCTGTAGACCGACAGCTGTTCGATCTCAACGTCTTTGGAGTCGTGAGTCTGACTCGGGTAGCGCTGGAGCATTTCGATAAGGTCGGTTGTGGACACGTGGCTGTCGTTTCCAGTCTGGCGGGGATACTTCCAGTGCCTTATTCCGGTACTTACACAGCCTCCAAACACGCCATACATGTAAGTATTCGAAAATAATATAGAAATATATTGGGCATACATGGTGAATTTCCCTTACAAAGACGCCATCTATCGGATCGACCGAAAAGTTACTCCTGGAATATCTCCAAAGCGAACCGTTGCAAAGCTAAGGTTCGACAAACTTCTCTGAAGCTTTCACTGGAAGGCAACTAATTGAAACGAAACATGTCATTCATGATTTTGGGCCCTGGTTTCAACTAGTTGCCTTACAGCGAAACCTGTAGCTGTAGAGAATCTTGTCGAAGTTTGACTTTGCAACGGTTCGCCTGAGGAAGCCTCCTTCGTTATTTTATATTCGAGAGGTAAGTCTTCCCCTTCAGATAACATTGATGTTATTTTCGAGAGGATGCATAACCAACGTGCTGAATTTTCCTCTGGCCAAACACTATAATGAACATAATAATAATAAATAATAAAGGTAGTGTAAAATACTTAAGCAAATTAAAGATGTCTACCTCTACAACTATCCTTAACACACCTCGACTTCAAAAAACATTTATTCGACATATGCCCAAATTTGAGGAAGAGGAAAAATAATTTGGGGTTGAGAACATTCTCAAATTAAAGATGTCTACCTCTACAACTATCCTTAACACACCTCGACTTCAAAAAACATTTATTCTACATATGCCCAAATTTGAGGCAGAGGAAACATAATTTGAGGTTGAGAACATTCTTTCGTCTTTCCTTTCACTGATAATTCAGAGAATTTCGTACATTTTGATAATACATGGTCCAGCTTTTTACAAAAAATGCACTCACTAGTTTTATTCTCTCTCTTTTTGAAATCATAACAGTTTCTGTTCTGATAGGATTTCTTTGAAAATGATTACTAAAAGTGGCCATCAACTTGAGCTATTCTTTCGTCTTTCCTTTCACTGATAATTCAGAGAATTTCGTACATTTTGATAATTCGTGGTCCAGCTTTTTACAAAAAATGCACTCACTAGTTTTATTCTCTCTCTTTTTGAAATCATGATAGTTTCTGTTCTGATAGGATTTCTTTGAAAATGATTACTAAAAGTGGCCATCAACTTGAGCTCTTCTTCAAACCATTCATAAAAATCTTCTAATGATGTTGGTATTCCTTTCAAATCACGTTGATACTTGAATTTTTTCCATGAAAACTTTTGCATAGTAGGAAGTTTGTCTATCAAATTTGCTAATAGATCTGGATTATAGAGATACAGATGATAATTGACGTTTTTTATTATGGTTACCATGTTATTTACAACATTAGAAAAATAAATCCATGATTCCCACTTGCCTTCTTTAATGTTACCAGCTTTTTTCGCCTTTTCTATCAGCGACAAAATTATCCACTCCTGTCTACCAAAATTCATTTCTAGCATCTTGATAATTCTGGAGACATTTGTTGGGGAAATAAGAAGAGCTTTGACAGTTTCTCTTGCTTTGCCCTTCAATGCCCGGTTCAAACGGATTAAATTGTCTTCATCAGATAACCCAAGCTGGTCTGTAGATCTTCTAAACTCGTCGATATGAAAATAGGCCAATCAGTTGAGTCGCCAGAAAATTCCGTGAGATTCTTCATTTTTTGTTGTACAAGAACTTCATTTATGGCATTCGCATTTTGTGCATATTGTTTGACAATATCTAAGAGCACCTGGTTAATTATCGATAACATTTGGATTTACATAAAAATGTTTGGAACACATTGGAAATACCTCTTTTTCGTTCACCGAACTATTTGTTACACTTTTATCGCCAATTTTTCTTCGTATTTCAGCTTCTTTTCGTAAAAACTGACGTTCTAAGACTTTCAACTTTTCCTTAGATTCTTCTTCAGTAAGTTCTTTCTTTTTATCAGCTCCATTTCCATATGTAGTCGATTGATACTTGAATTGTGAGAAGGAACGGAATTTTCTTTCAAAATTTTTACAACAACTGCGACCGTTACTACATCACCATTGATAACGTCTACCGCAGTAGTAGACGAAGCGTCAGGCATTAAAACGACGGAAAATAGCTTTTATACAGTTAGCTCCGGCCGTGAAAGTTTAAATTCTTTGAATTTCATAATTATTACCATGAATATGGACAGTTTTATTAATTTTCATTAAGTAATGGGTTAGAGCATTTACAATATAATGTACTCAATGATTACATTTACTACACGAGTTTTTGTATGATCGCATACTATAACGATTCTATAGAATACTAGAGTACAAGTACAACAGTTTATTTGCAAAGGCTGAAGCGAAGAAACTGACTGAAGGAAACGAAAGTGAATTGTACGTCACCTGAATCTATATTGTTTCATTGAAGTTTAATTATAAAATTGTACAATTGTATTTTACTATATACCACAGTTGTATATCAGACATTTTGTCTGATCACCGTTTATTATTATTGCAGCTTACGGAATTATCTCTCACTTGTTACTGATTGATGAACATAACACTCAAAGACTAGTCAACATGCGGAAATTGCTATGTCCTATTTTTGATATTGATATTATTTTGCAGGGTTATTTCAATTCTCTCAGGACGGAGAGACTTGGTAAAAATATTCATGTCACGCTTTTATGCCCGGGACCAACGTTTTCCAACTTCTTGGCGGAATGTTTCACTGAAAAAGAAGGCGAGGTAATTATTTTTGCGTCTCACTTCTAGTGTTTACCGAAAATGTTGTCATGTGGAAAACAACCCCATGAAATGAAGATCCAAATTTGGGTGTATGTTTTTTCTTATGAAAAATTTAAGAATAATACTTGAAATTTCTTTGCAATTTAGATGAGGATGTGGGTATGGATTGTTGACCGGAATAAAGCGGATTTAGCAGTACTCCTAAGTGATCCTAAGTAGAGTTTAAATTGCGATTTGTCTAACAATCCCGACACCCAGTAATGCTAATGAAAGTTCGTCTCCTCATTTTTTTGTTTAATCAAGGAGATAAAGTCATCATCAGATGATTGAAACGTCATGAACGACCCTTGTGATGTACTGTTTGGAACCTTTGGTGTAGTAATTAATATTACTGGATAATCCCAACACCAAACCGTTACCTCGACACGTGTTTCGGTCACCAAGTGATCATCTTCAAGAGAAAGATTAAACTCTTTCTCTTGAATATGATCACTTGGTGATTGAAACACGTGTCAAGGTGTTGAAAATAACGGTTTTGTGTTGGGATTAAACTCCAGTAATATTCATGGACGAGCCTAATTAGAAATATTTTCCTTGTGTTCTCCTGCTTTTTCACCATTATTCATTTTCATTTTATTTTACATATATGCACTTGATATGTCAATAATATACCACAATTCGAAAAGAAAAATGGATGAAATACCAAAACAATAATTATTGTCTATGGGATTTTTCTGACCCATAATTTATTTTCTTTAAAATTCAGCCTGTTCTTGATATCTTTTGTTATGTAAGGATTTTATTATTTTTTTTTTAGAAATACAACGGATCGGTCCAGCCCTCAGACAAGCGGATGACAGCCGAAAGATGTGGCTATCTCAGCGCAGTAGCTCTGGCCAACAAAACTTCCGAATCTTGGATAGCCGTTTTTCCTTTAATTTCATTCACATATATCGCAGTTTACTTCCCAATCGTCTTCAACATGTATGAAAATACTTTTCCATTTAAATGTAGTACTGTCAGTACTTTGAAATTTTATACCATTTCTAAATCAAAGGCAAATTTCTGATTTACGAGGTCTGGTAAAAACATTAGGTGTATTTTCATTTCTCTCAAAAAATATTTATTTATTCATCAATTTTATTTTGTCCGCTTCAAAGTAGTCCCCCTCAGATATAATACACTTGTGTCAGTGTTTTTCCAATCTTCGAAGCAACTATGATATGCACTTTTTGCATATCATAGCGATTCGATTGTTATCTCCCCAACCGTCGGAAAATGCCGTCCCTTCAATCTTGGAAACAGTAAAAAGTCACAGGGGGCAACATCTGGGGAATACGGTGGGAGAAGCATGATTACGGTATTGTTTTGAGCAGGTGCATTATCGTGATTTAAAAGCAAAATATTGCATGGTATGATCCAACCAATATGCCAACATCCTAAGCAATTTCTCTAATAGTGATTCGACGACTTTCCATAACAATGTTCTTTACTCTCTCTCTCTCTCTCTCTCTCTCTCTCTCTCTCTCTGTGAAAAGCTTGCACCACTTGTAAACAATTTTCTGATTCAGAGTACAATCACCGTATGCCACTGTCAACATTTCAAATGTTTTTTGAACACTCAATTCCATTTTTCACGCAAAATCTGTTGCAAGTCCTTTGGTCCATTTTTGTCGATAGCAGATAATTGTCGAATATGCAAAATACTTCTATCCTTCATGCCTCTTACCAACAAACTGAACATGCTAAAGAGCTGAAACTGTGAACATATGTTCGAAACAAGTGTACCAACACAAAAAGTAAAAAGTCGCTAACCGAATATGAAAGCCCGCGAAATTTGAACATTTACCTTATTTTTTGAAGTGTATTATATCTGAAGAGGACTATTTTGAAGGGCACAAAATGGAAACATGTTACTTCATGCACACTTTTTGTACCGGGTTTATGCAACAATACCTGTGAACTAAACCCAGTAACTAGTAACTAAGATTACACCTAAGAAAAGTGTCTGGTTTATGCGTTCATGCACGTGTTAACATAACCACAATTATTCTTCATTTAATATTTTACTATACCACTGAAAATAATTCTATATAAACAAAAAATTGTTCAACACTCTCTAAATCATTTTTTCCATTATTATAATAGGTACAAATTTGAAATAATCTTAGTGAAATTTATCAGGTCAGTAGCAACTGTAAATATTTCAATTCGGGGCATTTTCATTTTCGTTTCAACCTTAACTCTTAGTCTTATTCATAGTTCTTAGTCTTAAGGCGTATTTGGGTTCGCAGTTCAAACGATTCTAGGTTGGTTAAAAAAAGCTACCCAACTGATTATCCTAAAACTTTTCAAGTCTCAACAGTGTGATTACATTTGACAGTTTGAAAACTGTTGAAATAGCGAACCGTAATACAGCTTAGGTCAAGTTTTGACTGAACTATTAGTTATTTGTTTCATTAGGAAGAGTGTTACATAAACCCACAAGTCCCAAAAGTTTATCTATCATATTGCTAAAAAAATTTACTCAGTTTCAAAGTAAAAATATTTCTCA